TAAGAATGATGGAATACATGATAATGCACGTAACTATACATAATATTAAACAATCATCAATGCAGATGTCACCGTTCGGGGGGCTGGTTGGTCCTTTTGGTACACCCACGCACTGCGAGGTGCCTGAGACTTCAGGGAGTAGGTCATGCCCTGGCCATCCACTGGTGAGCCCAGGATGTTCTCCAGCACGAAATAGACCTTCCGCAAGCGTTCTTCGTCCCAGACCAGGCTCTTCCCATGCTCCTCCAGGAAGACCAGGGCAGAGGTCCGTTCCACCTGGGCGAGCACCATGCATAGCCAGAACAAGAATGGCTTCATGTAGGGCCAAAACATTTTGAGCCGCCCTGTCAGGGACCTGCCTCGTCCTTCTCCGTGAGGATGGTGAGCAAAAGTATGTCGAGCATCTGAAATTCAGACATGGATTCTGAGGGGCTGCGGCCTGAAACCACATACTTGAGTGCCTTCTCACTGGACCTCGGTGCAAAAACCATCTGAAAAGCCGACGGGTGGCTCGTTTCACGGCATTTTCAGAACCGGTTCTTTTGACCAGAAAAAGGAAAAACACACGAGCCACATGCTCCAAGGGGCTCATCATTCCAGCTGAAGGCGTAGCGGAGCATCTCATAGGTCCAATCCGACATGCCGACGGCGCTGCCGATGCGGGCGCTTCGACGAGCCGCCACATCGAGACCGGAACGCGTCGGCAGAGCACGGGCGAATGGAGGACTTCGACGGTCGGGTCGTGCCTTGGCGGTGGTTGGATGGTGGTACAGGTCTTTGGCTGGGCCAAGAGACCTTGATTTGCAAGGCCGGGAGTGTGAGCTGGACAGTACCAGCCCCTTGAGGCGAAACAACAACGCTTGGGGTTCACCACGGTTCCTACGGCTGTTTGATGTCACGCTGTTGGTGCAGATAAACAGCAGTACATGCCATGTGCAATCGTTGCCTGCTTCATGGTCTATTTCAGTCAGGAAGCTTTCCGCATGTAACTTTGGCGGAGTCTTCCAAAGCTGAGAGCCACAATGGCAGATTTGTTGTTGACTTCTTGACAGGGTCACGAAAGGGTTGCGATATCAGATTTCAACTAACAACTTGCCACTGTTCATGACTAATAGTAAAAATGCTAAAAAGAAACAATATATTCCTCCAGATCAACGGACATCTTTTAGGCCGCACCGGTCTTTGCAGAGCCTGTGGCCCGTCTCTCCACAGCGAAAGCCGCGCCGAGCTGTGTTTTCCTAGAAAAAAGCAAGGCTCATGAGATCTTGATGTAATGCCTTTGGACATGTGAGGGGCCCTCAAATGACTTTGGCGCCTAGATTTGCTCTGCTTCAACATGCCGAACTCGTATGACAGCCAAGACCTGTTGACATTGTTTTTGACCCCGTTGAAATGGAATGGTGCGAAGCATCTACTGTGGTTGGCCTTTTTGGCGGCGCTCTGCTCTGCGCGCACTGCCAACCTGCTCTCAGCTTGCTCAGGACTGCACAGCCAACCTGGGCAAATCTGAGAACACCCCAATCTCAGAAGTGATGAACGGAACCCATGCTGGGCTGCTGAACATCTCAAAAGACTCAAAAGACCAGGACACAGGATCCAGAACAGGATTGGTAGGTAGGTTGAATCTTTTTTCAGCCTTTAATCTGGTGTGGTCCCTTTGAAAGAGCTTGCACTCTGCCTGATCAAGTGCTCCATGAAGACTTTCAGCGAGACATCATCGGTGATGACCACCTGTCGCTCAAACAGCAGGCTGGCAAGTTTGGTGGCCACACAACCTGTTTCGGTGGTCGACTTCAAGCTCCATTGGAGATAGAGGGAGAGGGAGAGAGAG